GTTTCCATTTAATCTCCATTTTTCACTTTGCTGAGTGCCTGTTGTCTGGGATATTGCTATTCTCTACATTTCTTGAATACCTTGAAAATTTACCCTCTGAAGCCAGAAAACGGCACGATACAATTCTCATTGTTCAATTCCAAATTAAAAATATTCCTAGTTCCCTTTGTAGCTCTTGCACCACTATTCTCTCCCTGAGATGTATTTGCTGGGTATTTGCTATCATTTCCCAAAACATGTTCCCCAAACACTGAAATGCAAAAGGTAGACTTTTTTGTTGCTTTATGGTTTCCGTGGAGACCCTTTCAAAATATTCATTTTAAGTTTCCTGTAAACCTTGGTTATACCTCATCTTTATTGAATATAATAAAAAAATTATTGAAGTAACTCTACCACCTTCCTGAAGTGTTTTTTGTCTTGTTCTAGATGGAGCCAGGTTACAAAAATTTAAAAAATAGAGGTTTACAAGTCAAATTTACAGGATCTGACTCTTAAATACTTCTGCTTATTAGTTGTGGACGAATGAAGAACGTTGTTCTGGAAGCTGCCAAGAAAAAGGGCAGGAAATTGCAAGTGTGTTTCTGGGTAGATAAAAGATGCCAGTGAAATCACTTAGTTTGGCTGTCATATTGACCATCCTATGATCCCACTTGTCCTATTGTTGTAGGTAGATCATTATGAACGTATATTCTGGATCCACAGATTGGTATGTGGGTGCCTGAGAGTATCAGAAACTTGTCTCCTAAGATGGAGGCCCTGTCCAGAACAGGAAAATGTTGGCTCTGGAGGAGTTGGGAAAGTCAAGGTATCCATCAGAGAGAATACAAGGAAGGACTGATTGCCATGTAGGCACTTCCTACAGAGTAATTAACAATAGGAGCTCATTAACATCTTGTCATTTTTTCATATTTTACAATTCTACCAAATCTTTTAAGTCTTTTCTTTTTTCTTTAAAAAAAAAAAACACCTTGTTCTCCTCCGTATTTCTTACAGGATCTGGACTTTGTCCTTTTGAGGCACTAACTAATCACTTGTTTCCACAGAGAAGTTCAGGAAATTTTATTACAAAGACTAAGCAAGGATCTGCATTTTAATTTTCCTTTCTCAGAAACAGAAGAGTTTTGCCCAATGAAAAGTGTGGTAATTCTAGAGCTGAAGTGACTTATGGCTTTTTCTATCAGATCTTGTACCAATGGGAGAAGATGCTAGAAGCCTTCACAGGAAGGTTTGATATACTTCCTTCTCTGGAGGAGGATTTCTATTCAATCTATTGAAATGAGTGAACACTCCTAAAACCATCTATTTGGAGTCATGGCATATGAACTAGAAGCCAATTAACTGTAGCATGCCATTTAATCTGCATTTATTTTCATTCCCTCATCTATTTTGATAAACAGGAAATTGTTTTTAATGAGCAATTAAGGATGTAGTGGTAGAATGTTGTCTTAAGTGAAATTTCAATTTCACTTGTAGTATCAATTGATAATAGTATCAATTACTATGAATATAAGGACTTCTATACAGATGAGTCAAATCTTGAAAAAAATTAAATCATGAATACATGGTAGTAGACATGAAGATTATAATTGCTTTTATAAATGGGGTTGCTTGTAGCTTGAATGAAACATTTCTTACCATTCTTTCATCAAAATTACTTGATGCTGACTGGGATGAATTTCAGAGAATATTATTTCCTTTCTTGGTATATGGAAAAGGTTTTCTTAGTGCTCTGTTTAGAAATAAATGCCATGTAATGTCTAAACTCATGCATGACTTCACAAATTAAGTTTTGTGGGAAGAATGTTAAATTTAAGCCCCGAATACTTTTGAACTTCAGTTTTTAGGACCTACCAAGCACAGAGGTGGATTGGGCAGAATACAGGCTCTTTTTATAATAGTGCCTTCAATAGCCTATAGAAGTGAAAATATTAGTTTGATGCTTTGAATAAAACTCATTCTTTGCTCTGCTAAACAGAAGAGTGGTTTTGCCTAAACTTCTACTGTTGTTAAACTAATGCAAATACTTCTAACACTGGAACAAATGTTTATGCTGAGACAGTGTTCGTTTCTTTAGTGTGTTACTGGAACTTTATAGGCATTTCAATTTTTCCAAGTAAGAGTAGACTAAAAATATCAGAAGCTGTGTGTATTTTAGTCTTTTTTTTTTCCTGAATGAAAGGACTGTATATGCCATTTTGCATTTAATAGTCTTGCCTAGCAGTCTGATTTTTTTTGACTGCTGTTGTGATCTGTTTTATGTAACTTACGGCAAGTTTACATATTTTTCATGACTGTTAATACTAAATTCTATACTAGAAAAAGGTTTAGGAGTCCTTTACAAGAAAACATCCAGTGCCATGTGGTCATTGTGACAGCTTATCGGGAAGTGAAAAAGGATAAAAATAAAACCTGTTTAGCAAAACATCTACACATGTTTTAGTGCTTGATTCTCTTGATAGCATAAAGGACTAGGAGCGTGTGCATGTTTCTCTTAGCTTAGAATGGTTAATGAAATGAAGAGCTGAAATCAGGCTTCAAACATAAATCCTATTTAAAGAAATGAAACCATAGAGCAGCTGAATTCAAGTGTAGATTTAGCAAGGGCTTGGTCACAAATCACTATCTGATTATGATCCCTATGCTGTTATCATCAATCACTGTAGTGTTTTGTTATTTTGTGACATATGCAAATACATGAATGTTACTTTGGTGTTGGGTTCTCTAACCTGCAAGAGTTCATCATTGGTTCTTTGCTTTTCTGTTGTAAAAGACTTAGCTTTCAATGCTCAGTGTCTTTGGAATTATGAATTAGTAAAAAACCATTTTACAAATGAATAGTATACCGTTAAATAAAAAACAGGTTAGTCTTATAATACGTAAGAGAAATGGAGTTGTAATTTAGGAATTCTAGATGTCAATAGGCTTGGAGTAGCTATGAACAGGTTGCTATGTAGTAGTTGCAGTAGCTATGAACATTGCATGAAGGATAATACTGTAGAATCTTCAAGTATTGAGGATTTTAAAATTTTGTTTTGAGCTGGTATTAAAATGAGCCACTGATAAACTTGCTTCTGTACATCTAATGACAGTTGCTTACAATCAGGATTCTTCTATACTGTGACAAAATAGGCAACCAAAATCCGCATCACTGAGGAGTGAAACACTTGCCTCTTTCCAACAATCCTGTGATTTCTTAGAATATGATTTTCTTTTCAATAATCCAGTGTAAATTGTAATATCTAAGAGAAACATTGTGATATCTTAAAAGGTTGAACAGCATGGACAAATACCTGTAGGATAGCCCAAGCAAGTTCATAAGAATATATTGCTTTTGCTCTGTAGATACTTGCATGTTCAAAAACAGAAGAAACTCTTCCAAATAGCTATTCAGAGCACACAGGTTAAGCACCTTTTCTGAACATACTGATGTCGCTCTGAAAGTTGTCTCCTTTTTATTTCCATGGAAACAATAATAGGCATAATAAGATTGTTAGAAAAGAACAGATTCTCAGCTACAAAACACTGTTTTTCAACATAGCCACTGCCATTAACTATGCATTTTCACCAGTGCTAAACAAGAGCGTGTGCACCGTACTCACAACAATCTGCATCAGCCGTTGCTGCTGCTGAAATGCACCACCCACCACCTCACTGTACTCACATTCACTCTTCGGCCTCCAGAAACGTTCAGCAAGCATCAATGAATATTGGTAGGTGCCTGAAGAAATTCAGTTCTACCCTTTTGCTTCGTGCACACTTGTATGTCAGACACCATTTTGTCAGACTGCCCTCTGCTGCCATCTGTCACATGGCAACAACGTGGAATGGAACACTTGTAGGAAGGTTCAGTCTCTATTGTCATACTGCCAACATCTGCCTCTGCCATCATGGGCTGGCATAGAATAGGAGGCATTACTTTTGGGGCAGCACTCGTTCTCCAGGACAGGATGTCTTTTCTTGTGAAGAGATGGAGATTATAAAGATAGGGACATTACTGCATGTGTATAAAACCAAGAAGTATGAGAATATAAAATGGTGTAAGATGACAACAGGAAGCCATAAGATCTGATCTTCTGTTTTGCTGTTTTTGCTTGAGCTGCTTGGTGTTGTGGAGAAAAGAGCAAACAGAATTCAGTCCTGGATCAGAGAGGTGGTGGGTGCACCTTTCCTGGAGAAAGTTGAGGTCAGGCTGCACGGGGCTCTGAGCACCTGATCTGTTGGTGTCCCTATTCTCTGCAGGGGAGTTGAACCAGCTGGTCTTTAATGGTCTCTTCTGACCAATGTGATTCTATGAGTTCTTGTGACTTCATTCCAAGAGGTAAATTGGCTCAATCAGCTGAAAGTTCTTACACATTTTTTTCTTAAATATTTACTTATTAGACTTCACGTGAATTACGCCTTTGTTATTCTAAGTATCGGTGTAGTGGCATAGCACAAAACATACAGCTCATGCTAGAAGGTTTTTTTTCAAAGTGAAAACAAAAATCTGCAAGGAAGAGAAACATTTCTGTGATGTATTGCAGCCTGAGAGGATCTTAGATGATATTTCTATTAACAGTTATAATTCGAAGGAACTCTGCTTCTATCAAAGCAAAATGTATATTTGGGTGAAACCAAACATGTTTTAGACTGCGTAGTGGATAATTACTGCATGTTGCAGCAAGCTACAGAGTTGGGTAATCTGATGTTAACCAGTGCGGTTCAGTTTTGACATTTTATTTTGTGCTTCACTCTTAACCTTGAGGGTATGTGAATTAAGGACAGATGCTTTGTTAATTTGGAACTAGTGACCAAGCTTAGGACACTTGATTTATATCACCTCTGGATATGTGGGTGGCCTCTGATTTCACTCTTAGCTTTCTGTTTCTCCAAGCTGTAGGTTGCAACCTCTGTTGTCACTGTAGAAGAATTAATTCCAGTTGGCTGCTACAAGTGTTTGCTTTTGTCTTGCATCATATGATGTCCAAGGCACTGCTAATGGAATCTCTTTAGAATATCTAGTCATCTGCTATGCAGTACGTATGTTTGCTAGTTTTTCCAAATTTGAGCATTGCTTAATTACATCCATGGAAAAAATTAAACAAATTGAGAGGGGGAGGGGAAGAAGCAATGGGACAGCTGAAAAGAATCACTGGCATTCCAGTACACTCCTTAAATAAACACAAGCTGTATTCTGTGGTTAAACATGCACTGTACTTGTCTCGAGCCATGGTTTTCTGTCTGCAGTACGCAGTATTTAACTAGAAGATCATTCCTATTTTTACCAGAGCATTTACAGAAACTAAGAGTATTCTGTCATAATGCCACTGAAAATGCATCCTGGCTTATGACACAGCAGACAGTAAGGAGCTCTATCATAAGCAAGAGACTGGAAATACAAATTTTTCTCTCCTCCCCTAATATTTTCTTGAAAATCTAGATATTGCACTGTGAATTTTGTAAGGAAATAGTGGATGGACGTTGCAAAGGATAGGTAGCATGACTTCTTAACGATGCCTGCTTGATTCTCACTCTAAGAGTAGGTTGTTTATTGTGATAGCTTAAGATTTGCTGGGGGGAGAGAAACAATTCTTATCAGGTGAATCTGGAACCTTAGTTCTAAAGCGTAATGCGTCATGTTCTTCCCTATGTGTAATCTTTGTTTAAAGGGAAGATAAGGATCTTATTGGCTAGTTTTCTGTTTTAGTCTATTATCTGAGGATTTAATTAGAGCTCTTCATTTGTAGTGCAAAAGAATGTCTTGTTTCTCTGAGGCAGCCTGTGTCAGCAGCCTTGGAGGTGTTCACATGAGTCAAGTTTGGCAGGTGATGTGATTGACTGTGAAGGTTCCCCAGTTTTCCTCCGAAGTCAGTGGAAGTGTAAGGTCCTCTAACAAATGATTCAGGGAACTCTCTCTTATTTGCTGACTTGTCTGTACTGGCTGGAGTTGTGGGTTGGAAAATCTATGTGTTTGGTTCAGGTGCTTAAAGTTAAGATTATTTCCTTTTCTCTCCTCCTGTGCACAGACTGAGCTTGTTTATGATCCCCTAGCAGCTGAAATATGACGACTGCCAAATCAGTTCTGTTACAGGACAGTAATTTCATGAAGTGAGATAAACAGAGGAAGCAGTACCAGTGTAAATGATGGGCAATTTGAAGTTTTAATGTAGCTCTTACTGGCAGAACTTTCATGACACCCAGCAGTTTCTTCCAGCTCTTACCTTTTTTTTTTTTTTTAACCTGCTTCTCATTTGTGTATTTGTGTTGCTGTTTTTTTCATTGTGACTATGTAACCCACCTGGCATGCTGTGGCTCATTTCAGTAAAGTCTGTCATCATCACCATTGTTAAAATAGCTTTAATGATTATATATGCATCTGCAGAATGACACCTCTTATATTTTAGTGTAACTTAATTCTTATGGCACGAAGAGAACTGCTCCTTCTCTTTGGAGGGGGGGAATGTTATTCTAGAGTCTAATATTTGTTTGTTAAAAAGTTTTTGCATCCAGTTCATATTGGAAGTTAGTTGTAAGTACTCTTTTCCTCTGTTTATTTTTTTCAGGTAAAGTTGCATGCGAAATTCTGAACAAGAAGTTATGTGAATTCATAGGAGTTGTATTTTTTGCATTTTATGAGTTTGTAACAGCTATGAGTTATCAATTCTGTGCCTCTGAGCAGAGGGTAAGTTGGCAGAGTAGCAGGCACCCAGCTTACTGCCTATGCAGGCATTTTTCAAAATACTTTTTGGTGTTTTGAAGTGATTTTGTGTGGTTTATTCTTAGTGTGGTAGCTATTTGTCACAGCTCCTTCATAAATTTGGATCATGAAACCCTATTACTCAAAAAAGAAATACCTGCTCAATTTCTAGCTACAACACCCAATGACCAGTTAGGACAAATAAGGCTATATTCTCAGCCAAAGCAGTATATCTTATTCAAAATGTGGTATGTAAGACCTTCATTAATGTCAGAATATATGGAAAGTTCATCAGAATGGCTGTTTTATCAACTGCTTCACATACAGGATTGCATGAAGCATTTAGTAATGGTCATAATTCTGTAGTTACTTACACTGCTTCACAGTTGCCATAAAGACTCTTTAGTTCACACTTAGCTATTCATCTCAAACTCATTATTAATGAATGTATATCTTGGATGTGAAATTACACAAAGAGCTGTGACAGTATTTTATTAAGCCTGTTCAATTAAGTGAATATTTTTTCTAGTAGTTTCCTCCTTCAGTTAATAATTTCCGTGCAGTATTTTGTGGCGAGGTATACCTAACTGCTCACCCTCATATGCAGAGATCAGTCTTTGCTTCTCTTCTTTACAGTGTCTTCACTCAGGTGGTTTTTTAACTGGAGTGCACTGTTATCTTGAATTGCCAGTTCAACCACCAGGTGGCCATCAGCGAGCACAAGTCGGCCTGTCCTTGGGTGGCGGCGCTGTCCCAGCTGTGAGGATACGAAGGGGAAAGCAGCAGCTCACCTCTGGTCACCAGTGTTCATTTTAAGGCTTCTTGATTGTTGTCACTACTCTCGCTACTGATGAGCTCTTGATTTCTGCTATTAAAGCACCATGTATTTTTTGTATGAGCTTATTCTTTGAACAAGTAACTGTGCTATATTTTGAAAAGCATTTTTTTTTTTTTTTCAGGGAGGAGTAAAACAGCAGAAGTGATCTATGAGAATCATTTATATTGGACTGTGGCTGTTTATACAATTTAGATATGCTGAGAATAATTTAATTTGTCTCTATTATTAACACTTAAGTTGAGTATTTACTAAATTAAAGTAACTATGTATAGTAGTTATGTACAATAATATTAGTTATTCTTACAGTTACCAAAAAGGAAAAAAGAAAAAGAGGGAAAAACAGGTATTGATTTAAGTTTTAAATAAAGAATCTGTCTTCATGAGATAAATGAGTGGACTCTCAAATGTGTCCTACTGCTATCATATTCTACCAGTACTTGCCTTTATAGTGGGTTATCTAGCATGTACCATGAAAAACCTAAAATAACTGCTTTTTCCTTTATGCGAATAGGAGTAATATATTTGGAAAACAATAAAAAAACCTGCTTATGTATGTTTCATCTGTATCAGTGCCTCATCCAGGGAAGGCTTCTGAGTATCATTATAACTTGTAACTGTATCAGTATGATTTTGTAGAGTATTCTAAAAGCAAAACCGAAGAAATCCCCAAAATTGTAAATCATAGAATGGCTTAGGTTGGAAGGGACCTTTAAAATCATCCTAGCTCCAACCCCCTGCCATGGACAGGGATGCCAGCTACAACATCAGTCTACCCAGAGCCCCATCCAACCTGGTCTTGAAAGCCTCTAGGCATGGAGCATCTGTAGCTTCTCTGGACATCCTGTTCTGGTATGTCACCATCCTCTGAGTGAAAAAAATAAATTCTTTCTAAGATCTAACCTAAATCTTCTCTTTTAGTTTCAAACCACTCCCCTTTCCTATCACAATCAGCTCCACATCCTCCTTGTGCTGGTGGCCCTGGGCCTGGATACAGTATTCAGTGTGGGGCCTCATGAGGACAGAGTGGAGATGGATGATCCCCTTCCTCACTTCCCTGCAATCCCTTTTTTGGTGCAACCTGGGATACTGTTGGCTTTCCAGGCCACAAGGGCACACTGCTGGCTCATGTCCATCTTTTCATTCACTGGGAACTCCATGTCCATCTCTGCAGGGCTACTCTGAGTTCTCCCAGTCCATACGTATATCTGGGATTGCCTTGACTCAAGTGCAGTACCAGGCAATGTAATCCAGTAACTCCTTAAACAGCCTAAATTTTGCTCTCTTGAATTTCAGAATCCTGTCTCTGCTCTTTGCCAGGCCCATGTTCCTCAGAATCACAAACTTGACCAGGCCATGGCTCCTACCTGGAGCCAAGCCTGCCTCCAGGACTGCTTGCAGCTCTCTATGTTATTTTCCCAGCAGATGTCTTGGTGGTTGAAATTCCCCATCAGGATGAGAGTCTGTGAGGTGACACCTTGCAGCTAAAGCGAGAAAGCCTCAGGTGGCCTTTAGTAGACCCTGTCCACCAGATGTCCTTCACTAGTCTGAACCCAATGCCTCTGTTTCTCAGAGACAGCTCTTCACAGTCTATCTACTCCTTAACATGGAGAGCAACTACCCTGCTCCTCCTACCTTGCCTGTCCCTTTGAAAAAGCTGGTAGCCCTCAATCATAGTATTCCAGTTTGTGATTTGTCCCACTACGTTTCCGAAATAGTAAGTAGATCATGGTTTTCTAGTTGCACCTCAGTTTCTATCTCCTCCAACTTATTTCCCATGCTGCATGAATATGAATGTTTTTAGATTTAAAGTTATCTAGATCTATAGTGAGACTGTCTATTCTTAATTAGTATTATATCATTTCTGTTACTGCATGAGATGAGCAGCACAGGATTAGTGCCAATTAACTGAAGTGCAAGTAGGCAGATGTAGTACAACAGTTTTTCCTGATTTTGTTAAGAGAGCACAACTTGACCTTAAAATCATTACTGCATCAAATTAATGCCATTAAATCACCTCCAGTGGATTTTATAAATATCAGCATTTCATGGGAATGCCAGAACAATTTGCTTTGTTTAGAAAATCTGGTTCCTGTCATAATAACTTCTGTTACTTTTATGTGGATGAGGCTTGAACTCTTCAATACAAATCAAATTTTTTTGCCCTACTGATTTAGCAGAGCTTCCAGCTTCATTCTTGAGAATATCGTTACCAAGACATAAGTTTTGTAGCTTTAGTCTCTACCTGTTCCTCTGGCTTCCTGAGTCTGCTTTCATACTTTCGGTGTGTATTTTTCTTCATACTTCACAGCTTGTGTCCTGTGATTTATAGCACTCCAAAATTTCCACAAGATTCCTAATATTCTCATTTCACAAAGATTTTTCTTTTTACGTTATTGGAATATAACAACTTTCACAACAAATTAAATTATAGGATATTTATGCTAAAGCAGAATTTGTGTTTCTGACTATTGCTGCAGTATGAGATATGAAAGCAAATGCAACTGTTGGAGGGTATGGCTGAACATTATTGTAGAAATTAATGATAGGATGTGCTTCCAAGTACATCTAACAAGGGTTAGAAAAATGCACATTCCTGTGCTAAATGCTTGTTGAGTCATCAGCGCAGTTTAAGTCTTTGTTTACTTTGTAATCCTCAGTATCAGCTGGAAAGCTCAAGGTTTTTCTTGAACAGCCAATTCAGTGAGTTTTATTTTTAGTGTTTAGTAGATAAAAGTGAAATCAAATCATCTTGCAAGAATTCTATAATCTTCTTGTGTGCATTGTGATTAAGTATGCTGTATGTGTGATTACGTTTGGGTAAGAGGGTGGGTTGTGCTACTGAGTAGGAATGAGATTTTCTAGTAGAAGTTTCAGTTACTTAAAAATTCTTCTTTTTTTTTTTTTTTTGCTGGAAAAGACAACACCCCAGTCATTAAATGCAAGAAATGACCAACATCACATCATCTCTTTATAGTAGCTGCAAAATCAGGTGACTTACCAGAAACTTTCAGAGTTCTGCTATTAGAACTAATTAGGAGAAATTTTTTGCAAGTTGACTACAGATGTAAAACTCCTGGTAAGTCACTCCTTTACAAAATGCATGAATTGTAGAGCTGATTAGGAAGCACAGGAAGATAATAGGAGATGAAGATACTGACAGCATTATCAAAAGTAATGGCAAATTTGGAAAGTGAAGTGTTGATATAGAGCAGCCCTGTTACTGAGAAAAATGATAAACACTCTTCCATTTCTGAAGAGGAAGAAAAATCAAACTTGCCTTGATACCATTATTTGTCACTTGAAAGGAACTGTGATAAAGAAATTTGTTTGTTTGTGTGGGGTGAACCTAACCTGAATCAGATTTAAATGTCTAATCTAGGGTCTATCTTCAGGCGGACGCCTGGGAAAGAGCAGAAGAAATAAGGCGACCGTTCAAAACTGCTTGTGCAGCTTTGTCCACTCTATTCCTCTTTCTCAGGAAGATGTGTTATCTTTGTGTTTACTAGTTCATGATGGATTATTTCTTGTCCTATAACATTAGTCATCTTTCAAATTTGTAGGGAAGTGTATTTTTTCACAATGCCCTCCAAATGCTTTTTTTTTTTTTTTCCCTAAAATGCATGGTTGCTGCTATAGTTAAAAATATTTACATTAAGTACTGATAGTAGAATATGACTGAAGGACTTGAACAAGTTGGTTATCTGAAGGCTTTTCTGAAGATAATGCCTCCTATTTTGTTATTATGGCCCACCATGTCAGAGGTGGATACTGGAGATGTGGCAGTAAAGGTTGAACATAGAGAAAATGCATAGCTAGTGGGGATGGCTGTTTTGGAAAAAAGTATTTTGTAACTGATAACTTGCTCAGTCAAATAGTGGTCTGTGTGCTCTTTGCATCTGTTGTAGTTTCCATGGAAATAAATAGGTGGTATTACTTCAAGAGCAACCTATGTGCTTCTTTAGTTCTTCTTTAACACATAACGGGTATGCGTGACTATATAGTAAAGAAATCTTTTTATTTAATTGGTGGGAAATTGAAAAATTTCATAGTCAGATAACTTCCTTATAATGGTTGTTTCATGTTCATATTTTCATCTTTCTGTAAGCAGCCTTGTCCTGTAACTTCCCAGAACCCCATCTTCCAATGGCATGTTACTGAAGTAGGAAAACAGCAGAAAGACTCCACTGAATATTCACAGGATAATACAACAGATCAACTTAATTTAACAGTTTTATTGTTGCTATCTAAACCCAGAAAAACTTGGCTAGCAATATATAAAAATGCCTTTGTTCGTCTACTTTGCTGTGGAGAATGGGGATGTGGTCTTCTAGACGCAACAACAGAAAAGGAAAAAAATTAAAGAGGATGTGGAAGGATAAAGAAGAGAAACTGTTGAATTATATAATAACCACAATAAAATAATTAGCTTGTGCAGGGAGTTTTTTAACCTACTGATGCTGGAGGGACTATATAAATACTGTATAAATACTGAACATCAGTGTTAATGAGAGCATTCCCTCTTCTATTTCATGTCTGTTTTAGTCTAGGACAACGTTTTCCATTGTCAGAAATTACATCTGTTGCCTGATGCTGTCTATGTGATAGCTGGATAAGCTGACAGCTGTTTTTCAGCTATTCAGCAGATGTACGTTTACTCTCTTTGCTTTCAGGTGCGCACACAGGATTTGGCATCAGTGGCCAGGAGGGAATAGAAGCAGTTCTGGCCAATGGCTTTGCCCAGCGCTTCAGCATCCTTATTTAAAATGTGCCAGTACTTGTGTTATTTCTTCCACGTAATCTATGCTTTCCCATTTGTGGATTTCTGGTTTATCTTCCGTGAATCCTCTGCTCAGGTTAGTTTGTATTTTCAAAGCCTATAAATTAAGAAAAGTGATTATTTTTTATTTTTTTTTTTTACACATAATGCACCTAAATATTTTAATGTTTACTTTTTTTCACTACTGAGATTCATTAAAAAGAAATTGACTATGGAAAAAAAGAATTATCAGTTACTACGCTGAATGATCTTTTTCATTTTTGAAGTTGGTTGAGACGTACTTCATTTTATACTCTTCTACTTTATACTTAGGAAGAGAAGAGAAA